ACCACCACCCCGGGAAAATATCTAGGTCTAACATTTCAGGCAACATTGTGACGTTTTTTTAAACTGCTAGACCTCCAAATTCAACGTTCATTTGTGAGGCAGCGTGGTGGAATCAGGCTCTCGTCAAAATAATTTAAGTGAAGAAATTTGCGTTTTTCCAGCATGTTTGTGAATTTTTATCCAATTTTTGTTTTTGGGCTCAGCACCTTTCATGCTCATTAAAGAACTCATTTCTGTGTGGATTTTTCTTAAAAACGTTGATTTAAGGAACAAAAAATGTAAATTTTTAGTTACCACGAACTCTTAAGCTAAGGAAATAACTCATCTTTGGCGGCCATTTTCTCATTTATTTTTACCTCTGAAAACAGGTGACCACCACCCCCTTCTTTCGAAAATATATCGATTTGTATTCAAGATAAATGGATATTTTTTCATCCAAATAAAGACAAATAAACAAACTTTAAGATGATACAAATAACTCTACGTGCTCAAAAATTGACGAGAGCCTGATTCCACCACGCTGTCTCACATATTCAAAAGGACCTTGCCAAATTATGGTTACCTCGAGTAAAGTGCCTTTCCCAGGATACAAGGTCGGACCAACCTGAGGTTCGAACCCCATAACCAGTAATCTTACAATTACATCTCAACAAGACGAAAGATCGCATATAATAAGATAGTTCACTGAGACAAAAAAGTGTCCGTGGAAGCCCGCGCATTTCTTCAGATGGCGCTGCAGTTTTTGTTTTGAAGCTCTCTTTCGTTTCTCCAGAAGAAGAATAGGTATAGCACAGTTTGTTAGTTTCAGTTTTATTGTTTTTCACACAAGTAGGGTAACTCTGACGGGAAAGTCCGCGCTGAAGCCGGTGGAAAAAAAGTATAAAAGTACGTAGAGTAAGATTTATTCGGTCCCCGTCGTTTTAAGCAAGACAAATTCTGAATTTATGCAAACTGAGCCCCCCAAAACGTGAAATTATGCGATTCTATTAATTTTAACAGAGGAATTTTAATAAGGGAACATAATCAGAAATTATTTTTTTAAATGATTAAATTTTGCTAATATATGCGGGGTGCATAAAATCACGAGGACGGTTTATGAGTCGAACTGAATGATCTAGTCGATCTTCTTTTCGCTCACATTGCACTTGAAATCCGGTATCTATCATATTAGGCCGTCCTGTTCAGTTCATCTGTCGGCCCGTATAGCTTCTCTTGCAGCGTCGGTGGGGTTGGCCACGATTCCTGTCTCAGGGTCCTGTGTGTCTTGCAGTGCTGAAGGATGTGTTCTACAGTTTTGTCCGCCCCTCCACACTGGCATTTTGGTGATTGTACTAGTTAAAAATATATGTACGTGTGTTTTCTGAGTCATGCAGAGAGTTGATAATTTGTTGTATACTTCAAGTCTGCACAATGCCCCACCAAAGAATTACAAAGTTCTATCTGACACTTTGGCCGTTTTGAGGATCTAAGACCATGAGGTTAGAAACCAAGTTATATTCTATGTGCTCTTTCAAAAGCGTAAGATTAACCGGAGTCGTCATCAAGATTTTCAAAGCGTTGCATTCGAAAAAGTTTGACATGTTGTGAAGCTCAAAATATTATTTAACGTCAAATTTCTCGAAACTAGGCACTGATCAGATAGAGCTTCGCAATTCAGGGATAGCTGCTTATACAGTGTATGTCATCCCCACAAGTCAACAAGCTGTCTGCATCAAAATGTGAGGCAGCGTGGTGGAATCAGGCTCTCGTCAATTTTTGGGCATGTAGAGTTATTGGTATCATCTTAAAACTTATGCACTTGTCTTTATTTGGAAGAAAAGAATATCCTTTTATCTTGAGTACAAGTCGAGATATTTGCGAATGATTGAGGTGGGGGTCACCTGTTTTCAGAGGTAAAATTAGTGAGAAATGGCTGCCAAATATTAGTTACTTTAGCTTAAAAGTCCGTGGTAACTAAAAATTTACTTCTTTTTTGCCTTTAATCAGTTTTTCAGAAAAATTCACACAGAAATGAGTTCTTTAATCGGCATGAAAGGTGTTGAGACAAAAAAATAAAAATTTGATTAAAATTCACAAACCTGCAAAAAAAAATTTTTTTTTTAATGCAAGTTTCTTCACCTTGATTATTTTGACGAAAGCCTGAATCCACCATGCTGCCTCACTTTTTTAAAAAGTCAGCAAAAGCTGGCGACAGAAACAAAGATGAAGAAGGACAACTCGTACCGTTGAGAAACCTTGAGATGAGGATGCCTGGCGTCCGCTCCCCGCGGGCGTTGAAGGAGAATGGTCCAGACAGGGCATCGAACGTCACGTTCTGCATGTGCGACTTGAGCAACTGGAAAAATGTGTTGTTGTGGAAGGAAATGTTGCCCAGCCCCATGGACGGGTCTGAAAATACAGGGGAATCGGTTAAAGGTAGCGTAACCCCCCCCCCCCCCCCAGGGGCAGTGCCACTGACTGAAGTGTCTTTCGGCCATTCCCAAAGGGGGGACATTTCTCGTTCAAGCATAGTAGAATTGTAAATGGGCTGATCTATGTCACGCTCATAACTGTGCCTGATTACAACAGGGAACTGCTGCTTTTTCTTTCCTAATCCTTACTATTGTCATTTTTGCTCTACTTCCTTTGTATGTTTGTCACTCTCTTGTGACCTGCTATTTTGGGGTGCCTTGACAAGGTCATACCTTGTGCTGTTGAAGCTACAGAGGTGAGCAGTCTAAGTCTGATTCCCTGTAAAGACTTCCCTATTGACATCCTCCCCTTGGCGCTCATATGACCCTATGCAGTTGCGAGCGCCGTAAAATCCTCTACTATAAAAAAAAAAGTAAAGTCCACCATTTCGAACCATTTGATCAATCGTGCCATTATAAAAGTCGCCTTTCTGTTACAGTCCTTTTTTATATGGTTGCTTTTAAGGACTAGCGGGCTAACCCAGATTTCGGGGGTTTCCATAAATCTTGACCTACACCAAAAGTAGGCATTGCCCTACCTATAGAAGTTTGGTTTAATTGGAGTGTATATATGATTGATTATAGAGAAAACTCTCCGTGTCTTTAAAAAAAACAACTGAACAATGGGAAAAATCTTTACCTTCGAATTTCTCAAAACAGCATTTTTTGGGATAGCCCCCTTGTGTTAAAGAACGACCATAATATAGTCAAACCTGTCCAAGACGATCGTCCATTGTCGAGAAGAAAGCGCTTATCTTAAAACAGGACAGTGCCATTATAAAACAGGAAAAAGCAAGGGGGAATGGGAAGTGGTCTATTGTTCGTGTGATTGTCTTGAACAAGTATTCATTACAGTAGGTTCGACTACATCGCAGTTTTAAGAGGAAACAATTTTGCCAAAATCTTACAAAACAAAAACAGAGACTCACAAAATGGAGGAGGACATATATTTACCCAATCCGTTTACCC